ACATTTAATATATTAGTTCGTATATATAATAAGTTAAAACGAATTTTGTATTACTTATAATTTTTTTCAAATATTTCTATGAATTCTTTTTAAATTTGAAANGAAAATAATAATTTGAATCAGAACAAATGGAAGTTTATTTTGAACTGTCAGCAGCCTAATTATAAATGTAATATTTAAATGTTATTTTTCACCAATCAAGTTTTTTCTGTGCTTTATATTGAGATAAAATTAGTTTGTTAGATTTTATTTAAAATTTATTTAATTTATGTTTATTTATAATATACAGTATAAGTAAACATTTAAAAACATTAAAAATAATTTCATTAAGAATAAATATGTATATACTTAATGATATTATTTTATCCTTTCCTAACTGTCTGATTTTTCTACTCAAAATGTGTACAGATGTTGTCTAATATTTACAAATTTGAATAAATTTTGTTAAATGTATGTTAAAAATCAGCAAGAATTGGCAATTAATTCTGTAATTTATGTTTTTGACCACCAACTCCTCTATATCCTTACATATAAGATTAAAATCTCTCAGTAATAAGGTGTGTTTGATATACAATGTGCAAAGAACCTGAGTATGAATTAAAGTATAAGATTAACCACTATTAGACTATATACTGTGCGTACTGTTGCGTTTATGTTAAAAATCTCGCCTGGAAAATCTTAAGTGATAAAGATTGAACTACGATATAGAAAAAAAATTTTTGTACAAAAAAATTCTTAAACGTTCATAGCAATCATTAGAAGTTAAAGGGAGACAAAATATGAAAGATCATTATTAGTAATATAGAAATTGGTTGCTTGGCATATTGATAAAAAGTTGTATTGTTATTTAAAAATAGGTTTCGGATAGAGTTATTTGCTATAAGAAGATCTTTACTTCATTTTACGGATTTCAATTATGGATGAAAACGAATTTTAAAATATACCATGATTTTTTCAAATATTTTGCATTGAAAATTTCATTAATTCCAACACTACACAACTAAACTGGATTTAACTGGACTAAACAAAAACAACGGACCAATACTTATTTCATTATTGATACTAGAACTTATCAAAAATAGCTAAAAAATCTAAATATATCAGAGGCATAATTTATTTTTAAAAAGTTTGCCACAATAGATGTTGATATCGTATATATTATTTTTTAAATTTCTAAAAGAAATAATTATGATACACTTTTGCTTAGATTTTAAAAATACAAAAAATAAAAAAATAAAAATTTTGTATAGATAAACATGCGTAAAATTGTTTCCATCAAACGATAATTAGTTTATTCGTAAAGCATATAAAACATTAAACTTTTTTATCATCATCAACTTGAATATGCTTAACGATTAAATATTTGCTTACATTTATTATTATTAGAAAATTTACTTATAAAAATAAATGATGTACAGTACAACCTATTTAGAAAATTTTTACTTAAATTAGTTTGGAAAAAATTTCTATTTCAATTGCATTAGAAAAAATTTTAAATTAATAAGTGAAAAAATGTATATATTAAGCTATATATATAATTATTATTTTTATAAAACAAACAATTACATTACGAATCGATTGAAGAGTTAAAAGTATATGTAGAATAAAATGTATTTAGTAATAGAAGAAAATATATTATTTTTGTTTACTGACATCACAGATATAAACGCGACATTTTCAATAGAAAACTTGAGATAAAACTATAAAATAGAATTAAATTCTGTCCGTGAACTAAAATTGCAACGGAATAATTATACAGATCACTGAACTTTCGCATTATAACGTGTTAATTGTAAAAGTCGATTTAACAATTTTATTTTCTATATTAATTAAATTAAATTATTTCAATGTAAAGTCTTAAGATGTATGGTCGTTTGCCGTCGGGTTAATATTTAATACAGTATAAATACAAAATTCATAAAATATTTAACAGAGAATATAAAAGTTGTGGTGAATTTTAAATTCTACATTTATTTTTCTTGTTGAAATATTTATTATTTTCTACCAAAGAATTATCTTTTACGGAACTTCATATTTTTAAAGTAGTAATGTAAATTAGTCCGTCATAATGAACGAAACGGCTCATACACGTAATTTCACAGAATTATCTGAATTTGTTAAATTTCGAAAAATTCAAAATAACAATACTGTAATAATAGTTTATATTTTTTTCGAAAGAAAAAATAATCAGATAAACATTTCTATATATTTAAACTCGCATTATAGTTTAAGAAAATTTTATTTTTTTGTTTTATGATGAGTTTATTAATATCGGTTTTTACGTTATAATTTTTAAGTTTTAAAGATATAAAAAGTATAAGAAAACTGTTGATTTTAGTATATAATTCTATTTAATAAAAAGTTATCATACAACAAAGTAATCGATAGTAATTACATTTTTGAAATAAATCTTTTTATGATGATAAAACAGAAAGAAAAAAATTTTTAAATCGGGTTTGACAATAACATTGTCAATACCTGTCATAGGCTAACATCACTATTAAATCGATAATACAAAACACTTAGGTAAAATAATACTTATTGTGAATTTCATAATTTATTATGATTTAATAAGTAATGTAAATATATGTACTTACCGTTTTATTTGTTGTTTATCTTCGGTAAATAAATATTCAGACATAGAAGGAAATTTTTTCTGGTTAAGAAACATCACAAAATTCCATCGTCTCCTCCTCCTCTTCCTCTTTATTTTCCTCCTCCTCCTGTTCGTCTGTTCCACTTGCCCTCTCTTAGCATTACCTTCCACACGCCACTCGTCCTCGGTTGAAGACTAGCTTTAGTTTATCGATCGACGATGGCATCGCAACCAGACAGACTTTTACCATCAAACAATAAAACAGGAAGAATTAAAAAAAAAAAAAAAAATTGAAGTGAGCAACAGTCTTTCAAAAATCGTAATTGTTGATCTTTCTTAATTAATGTTTTTAATTCCGTTCTTTAATTATAATACTATTTATATCTTCGATTTTATTTGCTTTTGATTAGCTTTATACTGGTTATAACGGTGCAATAATTTCTTAACGTTTATTTAAAATTAGTTTTGCAAACGTAAACCACGACGAATGACACCACAGGCGCCAAAATTCCACTATCGGAAAATATAGTTATAAAAATAATTTTATGCACGTTCGAAACTTCGTCTTACTTTCATTTCTGTATTCCAAAATTTATAAGAATTATATTTAAATTTCCACGGCGTTTAATTTTGTAAATAATCACTTGTAAAATATTTTAATTTTAGCGCGCTCGCCCGCATCTCGCTGTATCCTATAGCCTATTATATATCTAATTTTCTTCCGAAATTCATTTTCCTTTCAGTTTAAAAAAAATTATAGTAGATTTACGAGCAGTTTAGTTGCCATTAGTCATGTACGTTATACGCTTTGGGTAGTAATTGTATCAAACTATTTTGACATAATCCATAGCGTTATTTTTAATGTGGGATGTCAATTATCGTCAATTGCTGTTAGAGCTAAACTTAAAGAATTAATTGCGCGTGTTTTATCCAATATCGACATTTTATAACCGTAAGGAATTTATTTTATTATGAAATTGGAAATTTGATTAACGCCTGACAAATTCCATACAGCTTGAATTTTCGGATGAATAAACAACAAAATTAAATTGATTGTATGCTGTAATTAATAGTTCGTGAATAGTAATTAATATAAAATTTTAATGTAATCGATTGAATTTAGTAGTTATTGAAAAATTAAAAACTTGACTTGTTCTAATATATTAAATGAAATAAGTGTTAATTAATTTAAAAATAGCATTAATTTCAGTGATGGTTATTTTAAGATATTAAATCTAATGCTAAATATTTAATTAAATTTTAAAAAATTCGATTTATTTACTTCAGTATTGATTTTCCAATCATATAATGTTTAGTTGAATTTTGTTAGTTTTAACTAATTAATCTTTATCGTGAAAAAAATGTTTAACGAAGTGTAATTGATTCATTGTAATATTTGAAAAACTTTTTAAATTTAATAAAATAATGATAAAAAATTTTTAAGATGCGATCTGTCCCTTATACTTAATTGGTTTTGATTCTTTTTTGGCATTTAAATTAATAATATATTTCGGAGATAATCCAAAGAATTTCTTTTTTTAACATAGGTTTTACATTTATTATATCCCATTTATTAGAATATGTTATTTTATTTTGCAAGAATGAATGTAATTTATTCAAAATATACAGAATATTTTAGACACATTTTTCCAAATCAATTTCTCTGCGGTCTTGCATCATCCACAAGAAATAAAATCTGACAAGTTTTAAATCTTAAAAAATTTGTTTCTATTCTAATGCATTAAATATTTATAAGTACAGATTATTAAGTTTAGTTGTTTAATGTATAGAAAATGTGAAAAATGTCAGTGTTACTTATTTGAAGATTGCCTTCCTTTAAGATTTAGTAATTTTAAATTTTATTTACTTCATGAAATATTTTGTAATTATAATATTTAAGGATTAAATCTGTAATTTGCTTTGAGCAGATATTATTATAAAAATATACAAGAATTAAATATCAAAATATCATAATCAATTAAAAAGTTTTTTAGAATAATTTCTAGAGGATATACAAGAGTTCAACAGAAATCAATAATAAGTAAAAGTAAAAGAAAGCTTTTATAAAAAGTTTTCTATTATAGGTTAAGAGAAGATTTATAAAATAGTTAATCAATCATTCCTTGTCATGACATAAAAAGAAAGTAAATGAAAACATTTCAAGAATAATTTTAAATTTTCTTTTTTCTAATGCATAATATATCATGAAATTATAATTAAAGATAACATTTATAAAGAGAATAAATATATCAGCATTTTATAATTTGCATATGTTTTATTTACTCTTAAAATTTTCAAGTACAAAATTTAATTTCTTTATGTACACATACAATAATAATTAAATTAATTATTTTATTAATTTATTAGTCAATATTATTATATAATATTGTTTTATATATTATAGATGTCTTCGATGCCAAATATGTCTTCTGATGTAAATCAACATTATGTAGAAACATCAAAAGTACATACCAAAGAGGTAATAATAATTTTTTAAAAAGTAATGATTAAGTTAATAAAAAAAGCTTATTGTTATAATCATGATTTCACAAAAATTATATTACATATAACTAATATTAATAAAAAAAAAAATTCTTTTTATTTTAAAATATTAATTGAAACAAAGTTAAAATTAGTTGGAATTATTTTTGGATAGTAACATTAATGAGAACTAAATATAACATTAAATAATAATATGGAACAATGATAGATAAGTAGTTCATTATAATAAATCAGACATATTGGATGCATTCTACAAATGCATAACATTCAAGAATTAGCAACTTACATATTTTTCAATTCAATTCAAATGTTTATTAACATAAAAAGGCAGTAGCCTGTTACAAGGGGTGTTTTAACAATTTCTTAGTTTTACATAAATGAACTTTTCGATAAATTTTAGCATTAAATGATTGAATAAGGCTAATTAACAATATACTTGTTCCTTCTAAAATCAATTTTTCAAAAAATATTTCCTCAAAAAATTTATGAAACTTCATGGGTTAATTCTACAGAAATAACACCGTTTTTTTGCCTGGATCGCATTTAATCAGAGACAATAGCTTATCTTCGTATTCTTTATTTTCTTACTTACTATGCATTTCAGGTGCAATATTTTCGTATCACTTGCACCCCTCTTCAGGTTTTTTTTACATTTCTATATATTGATAAATTCAATTATTACATTTGTTTTTACAGTAAATTACAACAATAGTTATCTAACCTGTTTTAAGTTCAGAACTATATCCGCCCAGTGTTGATGTTGTGTCCCCTAAGGCATTTTTAGACCGTTTTTCCCTCTTTTTGTTTTTTTTTCCTTTAGCTCCTCCCATTTCCTCCCACACTTTGTCAACCTCCATTCCATCATTATGCAAAACCATAAACTTAAATGATGGAATGGAGGTTGACAAAGTGTGGAGGAAATGGGAGGAGCTAAAGGGAAAGAAAACAAAAAGAGGGGAAAACAGTCTAAAAATGCCTTAGGGGACACAACATCAACACTGGGCAGATGTAATTCTAAACTTAAAACAGGTTAGTTAACTATTGTATAAATATATTCATTGATATTCATTTTGTCCAATTTACTATACATAATAATTTCCATCTCTTGATTACATTCATAATTCTCACTAATGTTTACATTTTGTTTGTTTTTCTCATTACATCCATAAATTAAATGAAATTTTCATAATTTTTACCACATTTAGAGCATCCAGATTGATCATAATCTATATATTTATTTTCAATATTTAGACCTTTTTGATTAAGTCGTAATTGAATGAAAAATTTTTTAACGTTANAATTTTCATAATTTTTACCACATTTAGAGCATCCAGATTGATCATAATCTATATATTTATTTTCAATATTTAGACCTTTTTGATTAAGTCGTAATTGAATGAAAAATTTTTTAACGTCAAATGGGAGATTTAGAAACATGTAATTATTAATATATGGGTAATTAAAAATAACATTATACTGTAACTTATTTCTTTTTTGTATATCTTCATTATCTTGCATTATTGAGTATTCCATAGTTTTATATAACAGTTGATTAATTCGTTGGTCATTATTAATAAGGTAATCAAACACCAGCTCTATGGAAAAGCCATATACATTGAATATTCCTGATAATTGTGTAATCCAGTTTCGTTTTATGTTGGTATTTTTAGATTTGTTGTACAATAAATACATTAGTTTAGTTGATAAATCTTCTGCATTAATAATTTTTTTTAGTCAATTGACATATCTTTTAATCAAAATAGTATTCAATTTAAATCTATTAAATTCCAGCCACAAAGCACTTCCTGGAGTATCATATTTTAACTGGAATATTTTGCAAATAAATATATTCTGAATTTTTTCTAAGTCATAAAAATTATTTAAGCTCCATATAGGGGCGGCATAACATAATGCATTTATTATTATTGTATTGACAAGCTGAAAATGAGTTTTAATGTTTCTAATTTTTGCCTTACAGCATATCATAATCAAATTGCTTATTAGGTTTCTGGATTTAGTTATAGTATATTTATATTGTTTGCAGAAGGATAAATTAAACATAAAAATTATTCCCAAGAATTCTTTTTCATTGACTATTTTAATTTTTTCATTCTTAATGTAAAAGGATTTAACTTTTTTTGAGAGATTATTTTCATTTCTGAAAATCATAATTTCTGATTTGACAGGATTTATTTTTACCTTTAAATTGTCTAGATATTCAGTTATCTGTATGATTTTCCTTTTTAAAGCCGTTGCAGTAGGAGCTAATATTATTATGTCATCTGCATATGAAATTGAGTGAATACATAAATTATCTATATATATTCCATCATCTTCCCTTAAAAAACATTGGTTTAAGTCAAATAAATAGAAATTAAATAGAATTGGAGATAAGGGATCACCTTGTAATAGTCTTCTACTAGTTGTAAACGAATTCCAGCATATGTTGTTTTGTTTAATAATCATGTAGTTACCACATAATTGATCAATTATGTTAATTAAGAAATAGCTTGCATTATGTTTATTTAATTTATTTTGTAGCAACTTTATACTAACAGAATCATAAGCTTTTAATAAGTCCAAGAATATTGCAAAAACCTTCTGTCTCTTCTTTAATAATTGTATGTGAATTGTTGTCAGTAAAACAAACAAGAATTTTTGAGTACCACCATTTCTATATATGCATATTGTGTTGGATTTTTGTAATTATTTACCTCTATCCATTGTTTAAATTTCTCTGCCAAAATTGCTGTAAATACTTTTCTAAAACTGGACAATAAGGTAATCAGTCTGTAATTTGCTGGGTCAAATTTATTTCCTTGTTTATAAATCATAGTAAAAATTATATCCTTCCAACTAGATGGGATTGTACCATTGGAATAAATGTTGTTAAATATTCTAGATAAATATTGAATCAATTTAGAAGGCAATAATTTGATGAAAGAATTTGGTATATTATCTGGCCCTGGAGCTGATTTAATTTTCAATAACTTAATTCGTTTTTGCATCTCTTCTACACTTATTATTTTGTTCTGATTGATTTGGTAGACTATTTTGTCTTGCTTGTGAATATTTCTGTGATTGTATAAATATTCCTGTGAGAATTCCTGGAAATATTTTATCCATTCAATATAAGCAATTCCTTTTTGATTTGAGAAATCCATTTTAGGTTTACGAAAGTTGTTAATTATTTTACAAAAGGTTCTCGTGTCTCTTGACTCTATTAGCTTTTTATTAATATTAGTCACATATAATTTCTTTTTAGCTCTGATTAAATTTATATATATATTTTTTTACTCTTCACATAGTTTGATAGAGCTTCAGATGTGTTGGACTCTGAAAATTTTTAAGTTTTTTTTGTTTTATAATTTAGTGGTGGTAGCAAGAGTTGTCAAACCAATTATTTTTGTATTTTTATATGGAGATATGATTATAACGTTTCAATCGACATTCTATTGTTTTGGATATTAATTTTTGGTAATTATCAATTGGTTTGTTTTTCTCCTCCCAATTAATCAATTCAGCTCTATAACAGCTGAATTGATTAATTGGAGTCAACTCTATTATAGAGTCAACTCTATTATAGAGTCAACTCTATTTAACCATAGTGTTTTATCAATTTTAAAGTCACATTTTTTCCTGACATTTGATATATCATCTTTTTTTATATATCTACCTGTATCCAACTCAGTAAACAGCGTGAGTCGTACAGGAAAATGATCTGAGGTATCTTCATCAAGTACTGTTAAAGTCTGACAATGTTCAATTAAGGTTTGAGAACATATAATAAAATCTACAATTGATTTTCTATTTTGAGATATGTTGTGTATTCTACTGGAATATCGCCATCCATTCTGCCATTGAGAATAACAAATTGGTTTTCCTGAATAAATTCTAATAGAATTTTTCCTCCACTGTTTAAAATTTTATCCTTGGACTGTCTGTTGTTGTTAATATTTTCATAATTTAAATATATCTTTGTGTCCTGCATCTCACCTATTCTTGAATTAAAGTCTCTTCCGAATAACCATAAGTGTATTAAAAAGGCTCATCTGTCAATCTGATGCTGGATTTCATTATATATTGGTTTCTTCTTAATCACTGGAGGGAGGTATATCACAATTACTCCTAGATAAGCTTCATTCCAAGCTGTTTTGAGTTGCTTATTAATTCTTATTATCACTAGTATATAGTATGTTGTTATATTATGATATATAATTTCTCCAAAATTTCTTTTTATAATAAGAAGTATGCCTCCCGAAGGATGCCCAAATTTGCTTGTTCAATGAGCATTACTGGACACTAAAATGTTATCTTGTTCTAGATAGTTTTTATCTGGAAACTGTAGGTTTTCTATCCAAGTCTCTGTTAAACCCATAATTGTATTAGAGTAAATAAACTTTTTTGTTAGTGTTTGAAATTTTCCATTGAGGCCTTGACAGTTCCAAAAACTAATCACAAGGTTATTTAGTTTTATATCGGACTTAATTTTATTAGTTTGACAATAGCTGTATTTATTTAAGTAGAATTTCTTTTCAGTTTTATTATCATTATTCTTATCATTTGGATAATTATCATGGATGCCAGGCAATTCGTTTGTTGTTACTACTACTTTTTTTGCAAATATTTGGTAGTTTGCCCCAAAAAAGAATTAATTATTATGATTTCACTATTATTAATGTCAATCGTGTATATCAGATTATCTTTTATAAAATAGTCATCTCTAATTACCACTCTGGTGTTAATAGAAAATTCTGATTTAATTTTATTGATTAGTAGTTTTCTTCTAATTCTAGATCTAGTACAAAGATCTGTTTTTATGATAGTTTTTTCCAACTCTTTTTTATATTTGATTTCATTGTCCAGAATCTTTTAAGTATTAAATTTCTATCTTTAGTCGAATCTGTTATTAATTTTATAATTTGATTATTTGAACTTCTTTTAGCTAATTGAATTAGACCTTCTATTTCTATGTCTTTTAGGTCAAGATCTACCTTATTGAATTTTTTGAGTTCTTGCAGCTTATCATCAGTTTTAAATGGAAAATTAATTATAACAAGATTCCTTTTAGTGTATTCATATAATTTATCTAACTCAAACTCAAACATACCTTTTAGGTTTACACAGGCCTTTGTTCTATCTTCACATTGCTGAATTTTTTGCATAATAGTTTTCATTTCTTCTCTAATTTTTTTATTATCTTCCTGTACACAACTTATGTCATATCTCATTGAGTGAATTTCTTGATTAAGTAGTTCAAATTTCTTTTGAATTAAATTATAGATTGTTTATAAGGAGTACCTCGAATCATTATCACTTAACTGGTCGAGTTGTTTCGGTGTTTCGAAATAATCCTCAATCCTAGATTTATTAGTGGTGCTTTTGTTATTTTTCATATCTTCATTAGAAAAATATTCTTCGCCAATAATATCCACTAGCTGGCTTGTATCTTCAGAACTCTGTGCGTATTCCTTTCTAGGTCTTCCACTCCCCCTTTTTTGCATGTTGGTTTGACTTATCTTGACTGGTGAGTGTTGCAGAGGGCCAGGATTTGTTTCAATACCAGCCATTACCAACAACAATAAAATTAGAATCAATGGTAACAGGTTCATTATTAACCTTTTAGCACTAGAAATTATTGTACTGACTAACATTTCACAGAAAGACATTGTTTGGAGAAAGTGAGTAAAAAAAGTCGCCAACACTGATGATGGCTAGAAGCGCCCCAACTTATATATTACAAAACTATAAAATTTTGAAAATATAAAATTAATTATATTTATTTATACATTTTNATTATTGTACTGACTAACATTTCACAGAAAGACATTGTTTGGAGAAAGTGAGTAAAAAAAGTCACCAACACTGATGATGGCTAGAAGCGCCCCAACTTATATATTACAAAACTATAAAATTTTGAAAATATAAAATTAATTATATTTATTTATACATTTTTATTCGTTGTGGGGAAAAGTAATAATAAAAAGAATTATTTTACATATATAAACATCAAAGCCCAATATTTTAGTAATATGCCAAGCAAAAAACTGCTTTACTAAAGTAGCTCAATTTAATCCAGCAGTCATTTGGCACATTTGTCAAAGTAACTAATAATTATTGAAAAATTGTGTAAAATTTTGTATCATATTCATATACTTAAACATAAACTGTAAGTTTGTAATTTTTAATTTGATGTAATTTGATAGCTGATGTTGGACTAAATTAGTCTGAAAATATCTCATTTTCTAAACAATGAATTTTTGGCTACTTTAAATTAGCAGTTTGTTTAAGTATTTTAACAATAATTGTTAGCTGTTGTTAATTTTCAATTCATTCTGAAATGTGTATGATGTTTTATGGTAACTATTCTCTTTATTCCTCTTTTGAACTTTTGGAATCTGCATTCATGTGCAATTGAATTATTAAGTCAGAAAGTTCAATGTCATTTAAAAAGAACTGAATAATTTAATTTAGATAATATTTCATAAATTTTTAAAATAAAATCATCATCATCAATTGTGAATTAATATCTTTAGCTCTTCCTCAGATAGATTTTCCAAAAAATGATTCAATTAATTCCTTAATGTTAGTTGATTACAAATCCTTCCTTTATCATATGGTTCACTCTTGTTATTTCTCCAATATAGCCTTCTTGTTAAATTGAAAAATTTGGCTAGCTGCTTTTATAGTTTTTCAGTAAAAATGTATTCATGATTTCAATTTGTTGGACTTTTGAATTTTTCAGCTACAAATACAAAAATTATTGTAAATGCAAAATTTATGAATATGGAAGTTATATTATATTTTGAAGTTTACTTACAATGATAGGTAATGATATATATTACAGAATCAATAGATATGCATGTTTATACATAGAAGAAATCAATCTGTGGCTTACAGATATGTATATGTTGGATATAGTGAAAAAAGTTAAAAATATTAATTCTGATATTAGCTCTTTATTTATGTGAAATATACAAGTATTAAAACTACTTATAAATATCTATGTATAATTGGATGAAGCAGTAATTTCAAGATTCTTTAATGGAAAATTTTTAAATTAAAGTGTTCTTAGAATAGAATGACCATAAATCATAATGAATGAAACCTAACAGATAATAATAATAATAATTATTATTATTATGCTGAACTATGAGGTCCACAGATACGAGTTATCTAGTTTTGAAAGAAACCAGAGACCGATATAAAATGTAATAAATTATCACCTTTTTAAATTTCATAATTTTGAATTGAATTTTGTAAGTTAAATATCAGAAGATTATTTTTATGATAAGCAGAAAAAGTAGCCTGGCAAAATATTGAACTGAGCAGTCTCGATAATCTTGATTTTGGTTGTTAAAAGGTTTGTGTATATGTACAAATCTAAGGAACACAATACACAAATGTAAGGAACTAATAACTATAACATGTTAGAATTCTACAGAAAATAACTTTTTAGGCTGTTTCTAGCATTTATTATTTATCTAATGCATAGAAAAAAATGTTTGCAGAAATGAATGATATAATTTTTAAAATACAGTAGAACCTCGATTATCCGCCCTAATTGGGGACTGGGGTTGGTCGGATAATTGAAAAGTCGGATAACCGAAAAGTATGAAAAAATCCATTATTAGTGTAGTATATTATTATATCCCATGTAATTAGTATATTAGTATATTAGTATATCGCTATTAACCTATTTTGCGTTGAATTTTCATCGATGTTAAGCCTAACAAAAATTTTTTAAAATAATAATCGTCGCTATTGTATCGTTAAAAATTAGAAAATTAAGCTTCGTTTAAATACTGGCTCCCTTTCATGGTCGATCCAGTGTTGCCAGCTAAAACACGTAAAAATAATGTTAAAGTAGCCAAGACATAGCCAAATATTGTAGCGCCACATCACTAGCGGACATTTGAAATTTGCCGACTAGGACGGTCAGTTGATCGGGGGGCGGATAATCGAGGTTCTACTGTAGTACAAACAATAATATTACTAATAATGACTAATTTCAATTGTGCATTTACTATTAACTTTATATCAATTTTTTAAAATAATCAAAATAATTTAGTTTACTTTTTAAAAAGTGTATATTTCTTCCCTACAATTAAAATAAAAACAAAAAACTAATTAATAGTTATTTTCAAAAAATGTTTAAACATTAAATTAGTCATGAAAATTGAAAATTAAGCTGTTAAATATAAATTTAAATGTAGTAAATAAGTAGTTTTTTAAGATGACATGTATTTATTTACTATATTTAACAGTTTAATTTTCAATTTTTATGAATAAAATTGGAAAGTTGATATGTTTTGTGTGTATTATGTAATAAAATACATAAAATGTATTGATTTTTAATTACTGGTGTACACCAAAATAAGTTTAGATTTTGCAAATTTTAAAACTGCAAAATCTTATTTTATTATTTTTGTTTATTCTGTCTTTTTAATGTGTATATATCATCAAATAGAATTGTGATTTAATAAAAAATACATTTTTATACTTTTGAAACTGGCTTCTATAAAATTTGTAAAAAAATGATGTTTCAAAATATTTTGATTGGCTAACTAAGATAAATCAAAAGAAAAATCCTGAGAAAATTTTGATGTTTATGGAGATAGAACTCCGAAAATAAGCAACATATTTTTGAAGATTGATTAAAAAGTCAAAGAATGATGAAATAATATATATTTGTATATAATATTTCTGTAAGCAATATTGAACTAAATACACTTACTTTCTTGGAGTACAAATTTAATTTTGATGTTTTGTGGGCTTGCTTTTTCAGACAACCTTTCAACTTATGAATATATTTAAATCTTAAGATATGTCTAAAATACTGTAGTTGTTTTCTATCATTTGTTATAATAAGATCTCAAGAAAACAAATGTATTTTACTTCATTGTTGATTATAATTTGAGAATATCTAATTATATATTGAATGTTAATTGTAATTTCATTATTCATGATTCTTATTATTATGTAATATCATGTAATCATGATTCTTATTATTATTTCAACTAAATGTTATATATAACAAATCAAAAGTTATTCAGAAATGTCATTGTACATAGTAGAACAAAAACAAACCAAACCAAATTATAATATGTTAAACTCTTACATCATACCAATTTCAAAACAAGTTCCTATTGTAGCTACACCTTTCTACCATCATCTAAATGGCTTGTTAAAACAGTCCTGGTACTATTTTTGTGATGGCTTTACAGCCAGTTGCTGAAGCTTTCATCTCTGCTGCTGATTGGAACCTGTAACCCTTCAACTCTCTTTTATTTTATGAACAAAGTAAAGACTGGAGGGTCAAGATCAAAAGAATAAAGAGATTTAGGAAGCAGCACTATGATTTTCTCTGTCATATATTTATTAACTAAAAATGAACAAAGGAAGTCATGTGAGAAAACTTTGGTAATGAAAGTCTTAAATACATCAATAAAATGGCTTCTAGGGCTATTTTCATAAATGGAAAGGATACTGGCAGAAATGTATAGCTGCAGAAGGAACCTATCTTGAAAGTGGGGTCATAAAAAAATTTGTGTATTGTTTAAAAACCTGTACCAAATATTCAGTTTATTTTTGACTCTACTATGTATAACTGTGTATACAGTCAAATTCTGATTCTTTCTTATCTCTTCATATTAATTAAGTTAGAAAGCATTTTGTTTAATACATGTTGTTATAAGAATTTTTTTATTTTATTATGTTATCTATATATAAGACATTTTGATTACTTTACATTTTTATTAAAAGTCTGAATAATGTTCAAAATAGTTTTTAGATAGAATTGCTGTCCCAATTTGTGAGTCTGAATTAAAATTAAATGATAAAGTTGAAGATTTGACAGAATACAACATATCTCCTTTACCTGAAGCATTGTTGCAAACAGTGAAGATTAAAAAAGGAAATAAACCACTGGGTAAAATTGATATTTATTAAATAATGCACTTATTACTCAATAACTATTTAATATATGATTAATATAATAATCTGTATATGATAAAATTTATTTACTTGAAGGCAAATACAAATATTTATTTAATTTTAGGTATAAATGTTGAAATTACATGCAGAGGTATTAATGGCATACTTGTTAAATCAATAATAAAAGGCAGCAGTATTCACAAAGATGGTCATATCAGAGCAGGTGATTATATCTTAGTTATCAATGGTAAAAGTGTGCGTAATATGAATGAACAGGAGGCATCATCAATACTTAAAGAAGCAGAAAATAATTCAGAAGTTACGTAAGTATTATATTATGTATAAATTAAACATATGCATAACATATACATATTTTTAAAAATCTGTAAATTGAAACACAAAATAACTGTTTAACACATAAAAAAAAAACAATCATATTACTCCTTCAGTATTATTTCTTTATAAATTATGAAACTTTCTTTATAGATTACTTAAGTAGTGGTGAAGTAGTTGCACAAACTTCTACATTTACATAATTATTAAAATATAAAATTGCTAGTTTATATATTAATATATGAATACTATGAAAAATGTCATATATTTAAAAAGTAATTACTCAAATTGTCCTGACTCTTGACTTAATGCATTCCTAACAGTATGTACAAAAAAACAATAACAGAATAATGTGTTATAATGTAAGTTCTGTTCTCAGAGAACTAAAAAGAGAAATTATAGTTTCTTGTTTAGGTAGTGTTAAGCCCCAATAGACCTAAGTCTGTTAGGCGAGGTTGTCGGGTAAAGGCACAGACACATTGATTGAGGACTTTACAATTGTGGTATATTTTTTTACAATAAATTTTAATCATGAATACAAACAGACAAAATTTAATCTATTCTAACAACATGGGAGGAACTTAAATACATTAGAACTTCCAGGGAGAAGGATTGAAGAATTTACTTAAATATTAATAACACAGTAATCCACGTACCGACAAAATACTAGTCTTGGGATGTTCTTTGAAGTTTCCTGTATTTGTATTTCTACTTATTTCTTGGACCATTAACGTATTTTCACCGATGGATTCGGATTCTGTTCACTCCTTAATTGAAAGTCCACACGTGTCGTTTTCTTTCTTCTTTGTCCTTGCACCACATAGTCTATTCTTATCTCACGACAAGCCAGGGACGAAGGAAAAACCAAAAAGTTCTCTTCTGGACGGGAGTCCAAACATTTATATCCCCCGCCATTGAGTGTGATGTGATGTCAGACGCTGACCAATCAGCAAGGGCGACGGGTTCTACCCGTCGCAATCCGATGTCAGGAAAGAAAACGAAATTTTACAATAAAACCCGATATATATATATACGTAAATAACGGAAACAACTATACAATAGTGCTTATGCACTACAGTAGGAAACTTTTAGTGTTTTACAGCAAATATGTTATAATATATGAAACATTATTTAAAATGTTCAAAACCATACATTAAATAGAAAACATACAATAAAAATTTATCTCAAAAATTATTTTAAAGTTATCAAAAAACCCAAAACTGGCTAAAATGTCCTCTGTTTGATAGCTTGAAATGTTGGGTTTTAGCTGATACTAAAGTCCAAATTAGGCATAAGAAAGCAATTTAGGCATATCAATGTATCATTTATGAAGTAGTGAGCTGACCCAAGTCAAAGATTCTAATTGTTGAAATTGCTGATATGTCGATATTGGCATAAGCTGGAACTAGACAGTAACAGAGACACAGAAAATACCTTATGTATTTTTCCAGCAAATTACTCTTTTATCAAACTAATGTTTTCAGCTTTTTAATTAATTAAAATTATGAAACTTGCTGAGATCATAGACAACATCCAATAGAATGTAAATAAACTTTATTTGAATTATTTTGAGCAATGATAAGTTATGTACAATTATTTAAATTAGCCCAAGTTATCTCGGGTCCAGACAGCTCCTAATGGAAACGTTGCCCGAGATATCTCAGGTCCGGATGGGAAGTGGATAATTATTAATTAATAAGTCTTTATCAGTTTTTTTGAAACAAAATTCAACTTGGAACAATATTTAAAATTCTGTTAATTTTAGAACAATTTTACATTTTCTTTAAAAAATATAAATGGTGTTATTGATTAAGTTACAAATAAAATAAAATATAAATTTAAAAAAATAATAATATACTAAAAAATGTACAATTAAGAATAAAAGTAAATAAAATGAAAATTATTTGAAGTGCTATGATGATGTCATGTTTTGTACTGTGTTACAATTTTTACTATATTTCGTTTCTAAGGCTACAGTTACTATGGATGCAAATTCTGACAAAATTTTGTTCTGACGGGTTCTGATGAATTTGTCCGAACAAACAAATACCTGTTTTCCAATGAGAGTGTTTACTTTGACAGCGAATGGCATATCAGAACAGGCACGATGTAGTCAGAACCATTCAAGCGTTCAAATGAGTTTGATTTTTTCATGCGTTCTGATGTTGAATTTCGAGTGTTTCAGTTTTTTCAACATAGATATTGATAAATTGATTAGTCTTGTGTTCAAGAATAGGAGTTTGTGGGACACGAAAGACAAAAGCTATCACAACAGAGATATTTCTCGGCAGAGATATCTCTCATTCTGAAATACTCGAAAAACGTTTGCAGGTTGTCCCACAAATCTTTATATAACATTTGGAACCTCTCCTTTATTGTCTCTTGTGGAAAATAAATGGTTACCATGCTCTGTTTTCCCACCACCTATCAACAATAACTTAATCAACGGACTTTCAAGAAAATAAAACTTATCAAGTTCGTTCATTTTGCTGGGAGACAGAAACGTACTGACTATCAGAAAACATGCACAATGTAACCACCTTGTTCTGACAAGGATTTTGGACGTACTTGTCAGAACAAAATTTTGTCAGAATTCATATCCATTGTAACCGTAGCCTAAGGAGGTTATCAAATAGCAATCTCCACACATAGGGTAGCAATTCACAATCTCTGCTGTTAATGTAGATTTAATTTGTTCAATATTTCTGCTATTCTTAGTTTGTGTCTATCGTATACTCGTTTTATAAGTTGGGCCCTGCTGAAATCTGCCAACATCTTTACTAATAAATCAAAAACATTAGTTTGATTAAAGAATAATTTGCTGCAAAGGTATGTAAAGTATTTTGTGTGTGTCTAGTTATTGCCGATGTGTCTAGTGAATTTAATAATGATTACTAGTAATAACTGAAAACTGCAATAGTAGATATTCAGACACTTGAGATACCTTAAAAAGAACAAAACTAATTTAATTACTAACATTTTTAAACTTTTTCCATGTTCTAGAATTTAAATGCTTTATTTTTCACATTATTTCATTTTATTGTGTTTTATTAGTATTTGATACATTTTAGATGTCATTTTGTAATATCAAATTTTTATAATCATTTACAAATTTATTAGTCAAATTACAATCAGTTGCAAACAAATACAATATGGTCTTGCTTTACACAGACGTTGCAGGTCAGCATATACAGTGAAAAACAAAATTCCATATACCATAAATTTGTGCTCTATTCCACCTTGTTCCAGATGATTGCCTAGACACTTATGTAACCATTTAAAATTAACAGAAAATTGATACCACTCTTTTGTTATGATTTCAGTTTTATTATGCAATGCCAAAAGTTTTAAATTTATTTTACACAATTTGCCTACTGGACACACAACTTTTTCTTCCTTTGTGTCTACATTAGAACCTATTTTCATTTCGTTTTGATAATATTTTTTCAAAGGTAGGTTTTAGAAAATTGCCTCTAATTATTATAACTTTACTTTTGCTTCACAATGAATTCTATAATATAAACAGTCAGCATGTGTGTGCATTAATAATCAGAATCATCTCTGTTCATACAAGAGTTAACTGAACCATTTGCCACCCATGAAAACATAAATCCAAATATCTTAATCTCACATAATACAAGATCCTACTAGATTATTAACTTTGTACATGTCATATATCTTATATATATTAATTACAAAGTCTTAGTCACTTATTATTTACTTACTTATAATTTATGAATCATTTGATTAGAACCAATATTCTATTGGAAAAACAAAACTGTATAATTTAACTATACCTAACTTAACTAAAGGAACATTGCATAAGATTGATTAACACAGCTGCAGGCAAGAATTAATGAAAAACAGATTAAGGACTTTATTGGAATATATTAAAATATGAATACACAGATACTTAGCACCTTAATGGTTTTTAGCAAAACAAAGAAGAAAAAAGAGAAAAAGTGTTGCCAACAGACAAACACAAATTTCAAACTTAAAATGTTCTTCTGTTAACATTCCCTCTCAATTTAACAATTTTAAATACAGTTTAATGAGTAGTGTGTTTCAATCTAGTATTATTCAAAATTAATTATTATTTTTTTTAGTTAAAAGAATTTAAAAAGTGAAACTTAATTTAAAATTTTTGAAATCATCTAAAATAATTTAATAATAATAATAATAATAATAATAATAATAATAACTCTCCCGTGGTCACCACCTGGTCGTGGTGGGAGAGCCCAGTAGTTTTACAGATCCATAGGGCAATGCAGGCTGGAGCACAAGCTCCTGGTAGGGACACCCATGCCAGTAAGGTCTATGGGGAGAAATGAAGCTAAGAGTGACCACACACCCACATTCTGTGGAGATAATCATTATGGTAGTAACCAGATCTAAGTATGATACCGGCTCGGACGTCGCCCGGGTTAACAAGGTCCGCGTTCGTGGGTTAGGCAGAGGCTCACGTTCGAAAAATAGGCTCCAGTCTCCCTTGGTTACCGGTGGCGAAAGCAGCGCCGGCCCAAGCATGGCTACTGCAATGCCCTCAACAGATGTGAGGAATCAACCTAGCCTTGGTGTTTCTGTGGCAATGCATCCACAGACCACAAAGGCTGGAAAACCACGCCAACGGATGAAATGGACAACAGAAATGAACGAGTTTATCATCCGTACTTACTACACCATCACAAGACTCGAAACAAACATGACAGCATACAGACAACAACTACACCATAGATTCACACAACAATATCCTCACCTCACTGTCACCGAACAAAGGGTTGTTGATCAAAAAAGAACAATTATACACAACAACATTATCCCACAAACAACACTTGAACTTATCAAACAACAAAATATAAATTTTCGTCTACAAGTACATATCTTCTAATATCAGGACTTATTATACTGACTTTACAGTTAATGCTACAGAGTTTCACAGAAAACAATTTTTTATTTTATTTAATATACCTGAACACATACATAATTTTAGTATATTAAATAAAATAAAAAATTGTTTTCTGTGAAACTCTGTAGCATTAACTGTAAAGCCAGTATAATAAGTCCTGATATT